AACAAAATAGATCACAAGATCGCGGAATCCGCGATATACTCCACAGTAGGACGCAGATTCCTAATCGTAATAGTGAAAGGATCTGGCACAAATGGAGCTTCTTCAGAAATACGAGCCGGGCTGGACACACCACGCGGACGTTTTCTCGACACTCCAGGTCCTTCTTCACTTTCCGACACTACAGTGATAATCTCATCACCAGGCATAACAGGCGGAACGGAAGAGAATATGAGGAATGTACTCGATACCAGCGTGTTGAAAGCGACCAGCGGACGAAATCGGTAGGTATGAGAGCGTAGCAGTGTGGGTGACAGACAAGAAAGCATCACAAAACACAGACGGAGCTCGAAGACCGACACAATCAGCCTGAGGCCAACAAGTGCTTAAGCCATGTTCACCAGTAATAGATAAAGTAAGTTGAGTTTGGAGCAAGGCTAAGTTAACACGGTAAACCGTGTTCACTGTGCACATTGGGGCTTGGAGACGCGGTTCCACATCTTTGAAGAAGCGATATGTGAAAGCAGACGCAAAGCCAATGCCCCTCGTCGTCAGAGACAACGATTTGGCAACGGAGTTCACACTAAGTGATGGTTGGCGCATCTGTCTTTCAAGCGCTTCAAATTTGTCGAGCTTGAGACGCTCGCGGATCCCGTCATCAATCGACTGTTTGGTCGAGGTGTTCTTACGAGTTCGAAACTCGTCAGTACGACGTTGTTTGGATTGCTTCCCTCTACGTCTACCACGACCGGAAGCTCCCCTACTGGAAGGAACATCATTTGCACCATTGTCAGAAGACATCATTGCAAATGCTTAGCCGAATCAGGCCACTCAATCTTTATGTACACAAATAATTATGCATTACAGGTACAGAGGGTGTGACTACAGAGAAAACACGAGATAGCGATACTGAACCTTGTCATATGTATTATGTGACATAATGGGGACAAGACGAAGGGAAGCAGACAGAGGCTGCTGGGTAGACGAGAAGCTGTTGCAGCTGCTTGAGTCGAGACTGGCTCATGTCTCTGGCTGGCGCCTTAATACTCGCCCGTGCTGTTGCATCATGCTGACTTCGGAGTAGTCCAGACGACAGTTGGCCGGACAGGTGGCAGCGACTACACCCTCCACCATGAGCTTTCAGACTATACGATGGATACGACATCTCCATTCCTCACAGTAAGCTCGCCCTCGAGCTTCGAGCATTATTCCATTGGTCTTGAAGAGGAACGTGCAGAGTGTTCCGGAACAATGATACTCGAAACATAATTCCAGCGAAACGGATGTAATATTGTCAGATCGAGAGAATTGATTGTATGGTACAATAAGTGCATTGTACTATGAGAATATACATGGCCGCAGTCGTTTATCTCATACTATTCGGGGAGATTTGAACTCCCGTCGCAGGATTCGAGAGTCCTGAGTGCTAACCGCTACACCACGAGACCTCCGTCTCAGATCAGGGGTACCGGCCTTCATCTAGTGGTGTAGCGGTGGTATACACAGCTAACAAGGAGATTTATATATATTATTATTAGGTTGTTCGGAAAGAAATGCGCGTTTGAGTTAAAAAATTTTTATTATAAAAACGAAATTAAACAAGATTAATTCAAAAGATAATCTCCATTACTATCAATGACTTGTTGCCAACGTTTATGCAAAGAATGGATTCCTCTTTCGAAGAACTCGGCCGGCTGCGACTCAAAGTAGTTGGACACCCAGAGTTGGACTTCTTCGCGGTTTGTGAACTTTCTCTCGGCCAGGGAGTGCTGCATCGACCGGAACAGATGGTAATCGGATGGTGCCAGGTCTGGGCTGTATGGCGGATGAGGCAGGACTTCCCAGCCCAATTCCTCAATTTTTTTCCAAAGTGATTTTCGCGACATGTGGACGAGCGTTGTCGTGGAGGAATTTTGTCGACGTCGTTTCGACACCTTGACGACGCAGTGCTTGATCCACGCGGTTCAATTGATCTTTAGATGTCCGCCGTAACTGTTTGACCCGAATCCAGAACTTCAAAGTACACCAAACCTTTGCTGTTCCACCAAACACAGAACATCACCTCTTTGCCGTGTATATCCGGTCGGAGTCAGGTTTTGGAGTGTCACCGGCATCTGAACCACTGTCTTTTTCGCGTTGCGTTGTCGAAGCAGATCCATTTCTCATCTGATGTAACAATAGAGCTAATTGCCAGCAAATGTTGGATGGTAGAGTTTGAGAAGCCAAAATGTGTTGCCAGTTCTCGAGTGGTTTGGCATGGATCCAATTCAATGACGGACTTCAGCACTTGGTTATCGAGGCCGACTTCAATGTTCTTCGTCCTCCGAGCTCTATTACCATTTTTGAAACGCTGGAACCATCGTCGACACTGGCTTTCTGACAGGGCTTCTTCGCCGAATATCTCAGATAGGGCACGATGAGATTCAGCAGCCGATTTGCCTTGCTTGAAGTCGTACCACATGCAAGCTCGCATTCGAAATTTTTAGTCAAGCATTTCCTGAACTTTTTTCTTTAAAAAAATAGACATAGACAAAAATATATCAAAAGGTGTACAATAAAAATCTCTTCCAATAGACAAAACTGTTTAAAAAATCTCCTATAGTAGGAGAAGAAATAAATGGACAAATTCAGCACGCATTTCTTTCCGAACAACATAATATTTATGGATTAAATAATGTGTAGGATAATGGGAGCAAGACGAAGGGAAGCAGCCAGAGGTTGCCGGGTAGACGAGAAGCTGTTGCAGTTGCTTGAGTCGAGACTGGCTCATGTCTCTTTTGCCTTGAATACTCGCCCGTGCTGTTGCATCATGCTGACTTTGGAGTAGTCTCGACGACAGTTGGCCGGGAGGCGCCGCGGCTACATCCTCCACCATGAGCTTTCGACTACTATACGATGGATACGACACAACCTCGAATGGCTCAAGAAATCAACATCAATTAATAACAAAATTCCATAAAGAATAATATAAGTACAGTGTCGCGACGCGAGCACAATGCCCCTAAAGGTCTTTCGCATGGGGAGTGCACATCGGTGGTTTGCCAGGGGGACTGCGCGTTGTGGTTGGCGTCTCCGCGTCAAGGGGGGGGGGGTCTCGCCTCGTAACAATCTTGATGCCACGCGGCAACGCCTGCGGTCCTCATTCCCTTATTTTAACGGGTTCCTGCGCTCGCTTGTAGAGAATAATCACCTAGCGGAGTGACAGACTGCACAACGCGAGAAATGCACCTTGCAAGGTGCGGAAGAGAGGGTATTCTAAATAGTGCGCCGCCCAGTCGCGCGATAGCCGCTCCGCGGCGGCTGCCCGTGCGAGGGGCATGCGATCAGACACGATTACTGACCGCAAACTCAACATCGATTCCAGAATTCCGCGAAGAATAAGCAGTACAGATTGTAGTATAGGAGTATAGAATTAGCGGAAATCGAGTATAGAATTGTATGAGTTATAAGCAGTATAATAAAGAATAATAACCTAGCGGAGTGGCAGACTGCACAACGCGAGGAAATACACCTTGCAATGCAGTACGGAGGAGAGAATATTCGAGTGCGCCGCCCAGTCGCGCGATAGCCGCTCCGCGGCGGCGGCCCGTGCGAGGGGCATGCGATCAGACACGATTATTCCTAAACGGAGAACACAAATTTATATAGTTCTATTATGGTGCCGTTCTGAATAATAATACTGATTAATAGTGACCTCATTGTGAGCAGCAGTTTGACTAAAGTTGTATCTTTACCGATCACTTTCGGTTCTTGATGGTAACATCCTGTCAGCAGAACATTCGTGAAGCGAAAGGGCATTTTTACTGCCCCATGACGAACTAAAATTCATTGCCTAGCAAATAGAACATAGAACAAGAACGTAGAGGGTCGTTTTCCCTTTAAGATCACGAAAAGTGAACAAAGCGCCGCGGAACGGACTTAAGCGGTCGGAAAATAGCTGCCTCAGATTCGCAGGCACTTCACCCACCTTGACCGATACACCATGCTTATGATAATCTTTTAGCGAAGCCATCTGGAGCGTCAATCGCTTGACTAAGGTGGGCGAAAAGTTTGGAGTTTTCTCTACTGAGCAGCAGTGCAGTTCCAGGCCCTTCTGTTCCAGTCGCCCTCAGCCAGGCTACTACTTTTGCTGCCGGTTTCTTGGTTTGGTCATGATTCCAACTTATCATGATTACCTCTCGAAAGGGTTTCTCACGTCTAACAATAAGGAAACCTTTGCAGTACTGTAACTTCATCATCTTACCGCACAGATGAGCCCTTGATGAACTTGGAGAGGTTCCAGAAGTCCCACAGGTTGAAGAAAATCACTGAAACTCCATGTCGAAGGTTCTCGAATAAGACTCTAGCGAAATAGGTTTACATAGTGAGACTGTTAAAGTAAAGAGTAAGCAGTTTCTAGAGTGTGCTTGTAGTAAAAGCTGGGTCATTAATCGGAATAGCATTATTACCACATCAATCATGAAAGTAATTTCGCACAACTGAAAAATGACCAAACGCATAACTTCCTTACCCCTTCCACCTTGTAGGTTTCGTTATAATCTTTCAAGTTTCAAGGATCCTATTTATAAGTCACCTCTGAGCCCGTTACGTTTCTAGCACAATCACATTACGGACTGGCTAGACTTGAACGCTTGCTGGAGGGTGCTCGTTTGGGGCCATCCAGACTCTATTCGGTGGCGCAGGATGGATGATCTTCTTTCGTGTTTGGAATCTTGTGAACGCGTTAAAAAGGACATGTTCTTTGGTGAAAAAGCTCATTTTAGGTACCCTTCGGAGGCGTGGATTCGAATCACTTTGGACAGGTCTTGTTTGAACCTGCAAGCGTGAAGAAGAATCGTCACCACTTCAGGTAATATCACCTCGTTTGAAAAGCTTTTCAAAAAAACTGCACAGATCTCGACGACTTGAAAGGACAAGAAGTTATTAAGAATACAATTTTATTCCACCAGTAAACAATGAGGGAAACAGAACACTGAGACCAATTTGAAGCATTGCTATGCGATCTACCGTCGAGGGGTTGGAGTGAAGCCTGTTTTCTGTTTAGAGAGATCACCTCCAATGCCGTAGCGCTCCTTGACCTCTTCAAGGCGCTCTTTCGCCTGAAAAAGTTCTTATTAATAGACCAAGCACTATATATAAGCGACTGGAATTTACACAGATATATCACCTACACTTTAAATTAGATTCTTTTTAACAGAACTGGACGTTCTTCAGATAAAAAAGAGGGAGGTTGGGGGATGCTTCAATGTAAAGAAAAGTACAATGTGTCCAATATGGTTCGAAAAACGTCCAATTCGAAGCGGAAAGAGGTGCGTTTCCATCAAACCACTAGGCACATTTCTTGCAAAACAGATGTCTGATCAAAGAGTAAATGAGTCGCCTTAGTACTGGAACAGTCAACAATTTCCCCTTAAAATTAAGCGCTTTAGAAATTCTTGGAAAAAAAACCGTTAGCCAGCTAACAAACCCTCATCTTCAACCCGCTTGCCTACCTTCAAGCGACAGAAAATCCTGAGTTTCGGCAAGACAGGCACCGAGCAACCCCAACTGACGGTATATTGTGAGTAGTGTGGCGTATACTACGTTGGGTAGACAGAAAAAACATTCAGGAAAAGGTAGTGTTCAAAAAGGTGGTCCGAGATCATGAACCAACTACTACCGCACAACTAATACTCACAAAACTCCTTAGCAAAAAAAAAAACGAGAATCCATTAAAAAAGGGAAACTGAAGCGCAGACGCTGTTGTTTTAGGAGGGGCATTTTGCCGCTAGCCTAATTTAATATATACACTCCCTTGCACCTGTAGACTCTTGTCAAATGCAAACGAAGTTCAGGCTGCTGCATAGCCTGACAGGAGCTTGACGGGTCACCACAAAAGACATCGATTGTGATCAATAGGAACCAGCGAAAAGCCCCACCAAGCCGAACTGCGTCAGAACCTCTTTCATCTCCCACTACCGGTGACCTTACCTTTTCTGTGTCCATTCTTTTGTATGCCTTCGTAGCTTGATAATACAAAACAACCAAATATCTAAAAAAAGAAATTACTCAAGGATAAAGATCCCAATAAACCATAAATGCTACGAATAGGAAGACCTGTTAGAGACGTTGAAACCACTCATATGCTCACAGGCATTTTTTGCGTCGTAGATATCCTCGTAAACGACAAATGCGGTTCCCCTTGTTTCATTCGTTGATCCTCTACAAACAAGATATGAATTTTGCACAACGGAACTTTACTGCTAACTCATCTAGCTATCCTAGACAGAACTGTACCAGAAAATAAATAAGGGGATCATCTTTGGCATCTATAGGCACGTGCCTCGATCAAAAACCATAGCCAGTGGGCTCAAATACCATTGATAAGGTGGTCAATGACTCAGTAGTGAAGAAAGAAAAAACCCTCTCCATAAAGCCAGTGCGAAGAGGGAGAAGGGAAAGAGAGGATCTGGGCGGTTCTCACCTGCTGTTCTCATTACTATGGCAACTCTTTCTCCTTATCACCGCATCCTCACCAAATGGTAGATATGGTAACGGAACAGCCACATCAGAAGGTAGCCGTCATAAATGAACGTTAAGAATAATATGAAGCAGTGGGTGGAGCACTGCCTTCGTCATGAGAGGGGTAGCGACCTTACGACGCATTTTCAGTTTTTCCTTCCTAAAAGCATAATAGTATGTTCTCTGTGCTTACGGGAAGGTCCTTATCCAAAGAACAGGACTGCACTTCAAGTGAACCCGGGACATGCCTTTAACCGGTTGCAAATGAGAGGCCAGTGAATAGTATTTTATTTCATAGTTTGCCTAGATGATTCGAAAATAGGTTCAGTTCAAAAGAAATATTTACTCACACTCGTATTTGTCGAATCGCTCCAAATTTGCCAAAAATTTCATACATTTCACTAGACGTTATTTTGTACGGCAGATTTTTGATGTACAGAATTCGGTTCACCTGGAAAGTATAATAGTTTAAGGAAGTGATGGTAATGAAAATCAAGCAAAGCTGCGTTTCTACTTCGCGACACTAGCTATTCAGTGTCTCGAATCGTGGCGAAATACAAGCTTCATCAGTTTCTGATGAAGGAACCACTCAGATTCACAATTTGCAAACAAAACAAATCTTACAATGTTATAGGAAGGAAAGAGTATGTGACGGTGATTGGCAATAAATACACCTGTTGTCCTAGTGGCTGCGTTCACAACCTCAAATTTTACTCAGCTTCCCCCAGTCTCGGAGTTTTAGCTATCCCTACAGACAACAGTTCCCAACGTATAAACAATAAACAACACAGTCTGTGATGTTGCTACAGCGTAGCAACTAGCTGGAAACTTTTTCGTTACTAATACTGAAAGTAATTCGCACCAGGGAGGAGATACGGCCCGCGAAACGAAGGAATCCATTCCTCTGCTCCAGTAGGCGAGGCCGCGTACGAACGATGGCCGTCTGCACTGATCTAGGGCTCACCCCCGATGGCGAGGGTGGAGGCGTTGCGCCGCTGTTTGATCCTACTCAACTGCAGCAGTACCCGATAATCCTCACAGCGACAATCAGTGGAAACTGATACGAACGGTATGACACAATCTCGTCTCTTGCCGAAAGAAAAAAAAAACGTAAAACCGGTTGGCGCCGCACCAAACGCAGTCGCGCTGACGCCCAATCATCCGCAGCGAACGAGAGTACTAGCACTAAGACTTAGCAGTATCTCGACCATACACCTATTTCCTACTGAAGCCCACCACTGGCTCTTTCTTTTAGTACTCCTCTACGTACCCCACTACTTTCCTTGACCAGCTCTTTCCTAAGCACGCAGTTTCAATAATTTTGATGCATATGGGTATTCCTAAGCGTCATCAATTTCCGCAGACTACCTTTCTGTATGATTCACCACAAATCAAGTATTTTGGACGTTGCGTACATATAAATATAGAACGGACGACTATATTGCAGCTGATACCTGGTAGAGAGAAAAGTGTTTGAGTTTTCGAAAAAATCGGTTGTAGTAAGTTTTATCACTCCACAAAAGCAGTAACAGCAACAACAACATATAAAAGCCAGTTCACATACCTCTGGTGGTAGTTTAGAAGTACGTCCTCTTGCTGCCATAGCCATCTTGAAAGCTTTGTTGTTAGAGCTGATGCGAAGCACAATCTGAACAGATTTCGAGTTAGTTGCTGCAATCTGGCCACAAACTCTACCTGTGGCGACAAAACACAGAATTTGATTTAGGATAATAAAGAAACAAGTCAAATGCTTCAAAAGAATAAATGTCAAGCAAAACGCAGAAAGCGATCAGCATCACTCTAGACGTCGTCTAATAAAAAAACCTCAGTGAAATTGCGGCCGCTGCACCCTCTGTGACGCCTTTTCAGCTATTTTTGCTGAATATTTTTGCTTATTTTAATTCCTGTTTCGTATGACTAGTAGCATTTTAGCACTTTCTAGTCATTTACTATTTGACGTGCATGTTGAGGTGCTAATTAGGCAATGTATCATAAAAGGAGAAATGGTGGCTTAGAAATGCCTTTTGCTCTACCTTTAATAGGATTTGCAATTCCAGGTACCTGGCGATGTGATGCTTATTTTGCTCGCCTTAAAAGGCCGGATGGGTCAGGAGGGAAACTGCGGCGCATGAATGAAACTGATTCCGTAACCTGTCTTAGGCTTTGTGAGATATGCCGTCATTAATTATGTGCGCTTTAACTTGAAATGTTAATAAAAATGAACCTGCAATCTATCATTGTTAGTGGCTCTGAAAGCAGGCCAGTAACGCGCTATGTGACGTCAGTGACACGTTATCGCTGAAAATGCTGTGTATGTCTATACTTTCCTGGTTGTTGCTCGAAGTCTTCGCTACGCTGGCATACCCGCCCTACGCATCGTATAGATCAGGAGCCATACACGTTCGTAGTCGCCTCGAAAACGTCTTCAGAACGCTGCGTAGCTCAAACAGGCAGACTCAGAGTATAGCAAGTCTCTACACTGCAAATAACGTCGAGTAAACTGTATCTTGCGCATCTAGCGCCCAAAGCGAGAAATATTCACAGCTCTGAGTTGCACCTGCTTTCGAGGGTTTTGAATGCAGGTGATTCTTTCATATTCCCGCATAGTACTGCCACCTCTGCTTTTTGTATCGATAGCATCCTCATGCTGTTTACTTGTTTACGCTTTGAAGTTTCAGATTGGTGGATCATGCGGGTGAATAAGGTGAAAACCCGAAAAGGAAAACGTGTACTTGATGATCGTGCCCCAAAAACTGTCGAAAATGACAAGACAAGACCGCACTTATCGTGAAAGGCTCGAAGACGAATCAGACTGTAGTGGATGCGATGCTGGATATTTACATGCTGAAGAAGCCACTTGCCCGGCAGCTGAAAAGGTACTGTTTGATTTCTTTTCTAGTATTTTAATCCAGCCATGAAGGGGCATTTTTGCCCTAAACTTCATGCGTTCTTTGTAGTGTCGTCAAAATGAAGGAACCTGAGATTCGTAAGGTAACATCGCTTGGGAGATTGACGATTAGGGGGTGGCGAAGCAAGCGATCTCGCTTAGTGCGGCATACGAACAAGGACCTGATTGATTTGACCCTGTGAGCCGCTGTAATCCTCTTGGAACCTGCTCTTTAGAGCACTCCACTTTCCTGCTTTTGTTTGCTGTCCGTTGCTTTGTAGTCTGATGGGAAGGTGTGGGAGCATGCTTCGGGAGGAAGAAAGGGCAACCACGACACAGCAGTTCTCTGCGTTCTTCCTCTTACTGATGATTTCTTGACTACCTTAACTGTTCTGCTTAGTCATGCCGCGGAATCCTTTACCGACAAATAGAGGACCGACGAATAGGGAACAGCGACTGCCAGATGGAAAAAACGAGGGTGGTCTTTTTCAAGGGGAAGACTCCGATGTGTGCGGGTAATCCTCTCAGAAAAGTTGGGGTGTGTGAGATCAAATCAGTCGCTGAAGGCTGTACCGGCAACACGACCCATTTTACAGTGGGGATTCCAAGCGAGGGAAGGGTGTCGTAGCGAGAGGGCTGCCTTCGGAAAAATATCTTTGATTCAGAATTTTCCGGTTTCCTATGAGGTACGAGGAAGGGAGAAGGGATTCATATCAGAAGAGGAAAAGGAGGAATTTTCTCCAACAATATGACGTGGGAGCCAGAGGGAGTGCAGACAAGAGGACAATAACTGGCGGGACTGAAGGAATTGAGTTCGGATCGCTCGCAGATCCTTGACCGAGGTAGTGATTTCTTCCCCAATGCAGGCCAAGAAGAGCGGGGAGGAGCACGATTGGGTCCTCTTTAACTGTGCTAGCGCCGCTCTCCTTGGTCTATGTAGCGCTCTCCGGCCCCTACCACCTACTTCAGTTTCCCTTCATGGTGGTAGAGTTAGCAGCCCCAGAGCTTTATGCCCAAAAAAAAACGTTCCCAAGTTCATTATTCACTCTTTTGCGCCTTTCAGTCCTCTGACAACCTTTGTCCTCGAGTTCGCGCACCGGCTGTTTAGTTAGAAAGCAGCAGCTCCTCTCGCGCGTCGCCGCCAATTTGGTGTAGAACTGGATTGAGAAACAAAATTAGAGAAGATGATTTAGTTAAATGAGCGAGAGTTCCAGCTGAAGCGGTCCGTTTTTATTACAGGCACAATCCGTTCCATATTTTCGACGACGAGACAC